TACCAGCTGCACCGTGACTGACTGATCTTGAGTTATTGTGATCTAAGCATCTATGCCAGGCCTGTAAGCGAGGGGTGGGGAGGGGGTGAGGGTGAGGGTAGAAAGAATAGCCCTTTCGACCGGGAAATGCCAACTTTGCATCAAAATTTGAACCAGATTCTATGCCATTTTCAAGTCGGTAGGTAAAAATGTCCACTTTTCATAAAAAGAATCCAATGTGAAATGCTGTCTACAAGCCTATGTGCGTTTTAACAAAGGTACTACTGTTAATAAAATAAACAAACAAGGAAACAAACAAACAAAAACAAAAAGACCATATATCTTTTTATTTATTTATATTTGTTTTAAAATACCTTCAGTAAGTATAAGAGAATGGAAATATTTATTTATCTATTTATTTATTTATTTATATATTCATTTATTTATTTATACATTTATTTATTTCATATTGGTTTCTAGACGAAGCATTTAGGCAACCGATGATCCTCCTTGATAAGGAAATATTCCTCTCCACAGACAGAATAACTTCTGATTTACCGATTTCTATCAACATAAAACACTCCAAGTTGCAGCAATGTGACATATCCAATACACATTTCGGAGTATAGAGATATGCAGTTGCCTTAATCAGTGTTTATTATCTCAAGTTATGTTCACGTGAGGCTTCATTCAACCTTGCTTGTTCCTCAGTGTTGCCAATAGACAAAATAATCAACCATTGTTTTTTTTTTTTCTATTGCCGTTTTAGCAAATTGATTTAACGAGACATGCTTCTGATAAAAATAGGTAATGTTGGGTTTAAACTCAAGTAGTTTCCATGACCTGGTCTAGCTTAAACCACTATCTGAACAGGAACAGTTTCTAAAGATCAACCTTGTGTGAACGCTTCTACATTCTATACTTGCTTTTACAGCTGCAAATTGTGGCCTCCTGCTCGTAGAAGCTTTTTTTAAAGAACTGGAGATAAAAATTGAGCTACCTGCTGAATCTTTTATCAACCAGTAATGCGCATGTATTGTAGATCTAAAGTAAATGGACGTTCAAATTTTCAATAACAGACCTGCATAGATATAGATTAAATTGCGTCATGAAAACAAGAATGCGCCAGCTCAGCGGTGGTCCACCTTGCACGATAACTCAAAGGTAGCCTTGTACACTGTTGGATATTTAAACACATTTTTAAGTTTGGTTAATGGTAAAATTTTCTTAATAGAATTATCAGGAAGGTATTACGGATTTATCTGAATCATACGCACAAGCAAAAGAGGCAGAATTCACACAGCAACTGACCAACTTTTAGCATCAATCGTTGACTTAACTGAGATTTGGCCGAGCACCGTGTATTGTTTGCTACGCAGCGACATAGAAGCTTGCAAATATACTATGCCCCCCCCCCCCCTCCACGAACGAATGAAAACACCAAGATGATCAACAATCAATTTTTGATAACCGTTGATAAAAACAGTTCCAATGTACAGACACTCAAAAGCACGCACACACACGAAAACACAATCAAACAGGCTCTCTGGAACATACGTACGCACACACTCGCATTCACAAACTGCAGCATAGGCATGCAAAGAGCGTTCCAAAAATAAGTGATCACAAAAGAAGCACCAGCCACTGTGGTAGGCCACGCTGGCTGCTTCTAATAGCGTTAACTTAAAAAAATGGTTTTGGCGGAAGACTGGAGGGCGGAAAAAGATACTCGATCAATAACTTTCTCTTTTAAACCTAAATGTTAACAATACAAGCCGTCTTTTTCATTTCCAATTCTTTTAAATTAAATTTTGTAGTTGTCTTTTTGACATCAGTTTATGTTAAAATTGAATCATTCTGTCTGTTTGAGTGACCCGTTGTTTATTCAGACATTGTTTTAAATTAAAGGACGTTCCGCCATTTGTCCTCCCAGTGGTGTCTTTTTACCCTAGGTTGCAGAGTAAAACGGACAATAGATATAGCACTTGTCGGAAATAATGTCACTGCCAATTCATCGAAACTCAGGGTGAGTGTTTCTAAGCCCTGATTGCCGAGCCCGCGTACATGCTCTGTGTCCTGCTGCGTTCCTTAAGTGCCACCGAGTACTGGTAGCATTAGTCTTTAAGTGGTTCTTAACAACTGCTCTCTTGGTTTGGTTGCCTTTTTGCACGCCAAGCACCAAGAAAGCGACTCTCCGCGGTGCGAGAACAGAACTCTCTTACTGTACATAATCTGTTTTGGTTTTCTTTTGTCTTAGGATGCACTGGCAATTCAATTGTAGACAGAATAATAAATAAATCTTTTATGCATTTTTTTCGGGGAAAATCACAACAGAATCGGTCCCAAATGGATGCACGGCCTCACGTACATGTTTTTGTTATTTGTTGCGAAGGTATATTGTCAATTTTTTTGGCCGAACATTGCAATTGGGTTAATTGAAATACGGTCCTTATAAGGGTGTGTGAATGTGCCACTTTTATCAACTATTGAGTCTAACAGTGTCTCGTATATCTGCAGTTTAAAGAAGTGAACGAAAGAATAATCTTGTAATAGACGTGGAAATGGCAAACAAGTAACCAACCAACCCAAGTCGTAAACGAAAATCGAATTTAATTTGCCATTATCTTGTCGCCTATAGACGTTTCTTATTAACATCACGTCAAAATAGAATTAAACTGCTTCTATCTATCTCACGTCAGTACACCAAGAGAGGTTTTAAGTGATTACTGGCTATCCGACCGTTATCAAGTAGTATGTGCGAGTGGAGCAAATAGCGCAGACTTCTTTGCTCCTTTCGAAGCTGTTCTCACGGTCGACTTAAAGTTAAGCGGTTACTGTAAGTACAATATTGACTATGATCTATGTAACATTATTTTGGTGCCATCCAAATTTAATCTAAGTTCGTTTATATTGCAGCGATATTTAGTTCTTCTGTTATTGTCTGTTGTCCATGTTAAGTACCTGAGGCATGTTAAATTATTTTATTTATTTTGTTAAATCGTTTATTTATCGTTACTCTGTCAGTGCGTTAGAGCCTTAATGTAAAATTGTACAAAGATAAAATTTTTGATAATTTCAAGGCTGCGTTCTTCTTGAAAATAGAAAGAGAGCTAGGAAAGGGAGAAAAAATGTGGAAAAAATTATAAAATCCACACCTTAAGAAGCACCAATTAAAAGACAATGTTCATAGCACATGGTTCTTCTGATAAAGCCGAAGCCACAGTGCCAAACGCACCGCTTGTTAAAGCAACTGGAGAAAAAACCTGTTTACAAAATATATTAGAAGCTTTTCATTGTCAGTTCCTTTGTTTCTCTATTTATATTTAGGGTAGGGATTGAATTCCGTGCACGTGTGAACTCAGATCGATTATTTTCTTGGGTGATTTTCAAACATACACTACACTGTACATGTACTTGTATGTCTGAACAGAATAAAGGTGCCTAACTGCTACAAAGATCGTCTGCCAGTGCGTTGTATACCCCCTTGCCTGTTTGTTTTGCCAATGGTAGGGTCTCCGTCCATCATTGTTCAATTACAAAAGCAATAACTGGTCCTTTGTTTTTGCATCAGACGACATTTTTAAGTGCCTTTTAAGGGATAACTGCGGCTAAAGGTAAATCCAGGCCTACCCAACTACCAGACTCGGCACCGAATGATCCTGAATTCACCGGTAGATCAGACCACACTACCCGTTTTCAAGGTGTGTGTCAGATCGCATTACACAGTATCATACCCTGAACAAATTTTGAGCGGTGATGCAATGCTTTTCAACCCCGCTGAGAATCGTCACTATCACTTCGCGTACTAGGCAAGAGCGGTGTCGCGTCTGATACTGTGAAATGCGTACTGATACACACCTTGAAAACGGGTAGTGTGGTCCGATTTACCGGTGAATTCAGGATCATTCGGTGCCGAGTCTGGTAGTTGGGTAGGCCTGAAATCGAGAGATATGTGAAACATTGGAATTGTAAGAAAAGAAAAAACTTGTGAATGAAGATATAAGCTCATCAGTTAACCGACAGGTATGAAAAATTAATAACTCGGTAGAATTTTGATAAAACCTTTAATCCGGTGGTAGGGAATCTTTTTTACATAAGTCTATTGAAAATTGGTGTAGGCCAACGTTGTTAGAGATTTAAACGGATAGGCCTATGACGTCACCAGCAAAATGACCATACTTTGGCTGGAGACCAACAGTGTCCAGGAACATTATATGATCACATTATGAACAACCAGTTTTATATAAAGACGTTTTAGCCTGATTTAGGCACAATTGATCTGTGTGTTTTACATTATAAGTCTGTGGTACGTTTTCACCTCCACATTTTTGGTCTCTTTTTAATTCCATAAGTTACTCAATTATTGTACGGTATTTTGGTATACTTCAAAAGAACCGGTCTCTACATTGCATTAAAGATACGTAAAGTCTTATTCGCATCATCGATCTGTAATCATCTCAATGACTAATATTGCCAATTACGGCCAACAATAATGTCTCTATATGTCAGTCGGGTAAATAATTAATGGCGACCTTGATGCCTTTCCCTCATCTCTTTTTTTTCTCTCTTGATATTAATGATGCGCAGGAAAAATCATTGTAAGATGGAGAATTGCAGAACAGCAAAATTTGTTAATTAAAATACATTTTGTGTCTTCTCAGTGAATATATCTTTTCCGTGTGAGCGTTTTCTGGGTTACTTTGGGTGCGTTTGAAACTATTGCACTAGGTAGTTCGATCCAACTCCACGGGGACTCTCGCTGAATCCAATCACATTAGCTCAATTACACCATTGATTTGTTTCCAACATGTTCTCACAATCACCAACTTTTTATGTATTTTAATCAACGCCAGGAAGAGGCGAGTTAATCTTTTAATTTGATTGCACTCAGCGAGAGTCCCCTCGGAGTTGGATCGATCTGTTATCTAAAGGTGCTTCTATTGGGAATGAGCCCTTAGTTTACTGACAGAACTGGGAGCACCAGTACCATGACCCGTCTTAATCTTTTTCCTTTCTTTCAGTAAAATGCAGGTAGAAGTGCTGAGCCTTTGTATACTTCTAACTCTCACTCACGTGACGGCCACCAGGCACAACCGAGACCCGAACAAAAGGCGGCGCTTGAGGGACGACATCGCTGCATCCGGGGCTTGCAACCTCGAGGTGAGATGTGACTCGGCACTTGTGGATGAAGACGGGCTCGCGGCTGTCCGGCTGCCTATAAGAGGACCGCGAGGAAAACCGGGGGAAGATGGTGAAAAGGGAGAGAAAGGGGAACCTGGGTTACCTGGTGTACCTGGACGGGCAGGTAAACATTGTGAAGTGTCAGGTATAATGGATAACGTTTTTGAAATAATGGTCTTTTACACTTATTATTATTATTATTATTATTATTATTATTATTATTATTATTATTATTATATAGGGTGTTCCCTCTGTAATATAGACCAATATTCGGTAAAAAACGCCCCTGTTTAGAAGACCGATATTTCATATAATTTTATGAAAAGATTTTCATGGACGTAAAAGTACCCAATAAAACTGTCAAGGGAGAAGATATCTTGAATTGCGTTCTAGGATGAAATGCTTTCCTGAGAGAAGTACAGTTTTTTCATCTCACCAAACCTCTGCGTTAAGTTGTCTCTGTTGGCTCGTGTGCCACAATTTTCCAATTTAATCATTTGTGCAGCATAAAACATAGGATTTGAATTTGTAGAGAAGCACACCTGTTTTAGGTTAAATATTCTGTCTAATCTTTTGGCTAAAACTGACTTTTGGCGACTTTAAATGGAGATATACATACAAGTAGAATAAGTAAGAGCCTTGGGTCTTGAATGTTACCCAAGAAACCAAACATTTCGCATTTTGATCCAAGTCTTTGTTGTTATACCAGGCAAATCATACCCACCACCGCCAAAAGTTGCATTTTTTGTGGGACTAGAAGAAAACATGGGTCCCCAAGAAAAAGATACCGACGTTGTCTTCGACAATGTGGTCACTAACGTAGGCGACGGCTACAATCCCAAGACAGGCCGGTTCCGAGCGCCTTACAACGGCACATACCAGTTCCATATTGTTATATCGGCTCAAGGTCGGCAAAAGGTGAGCATGTATAAGGTGAGCATGTGCTGTAAGCTACACAGACCCATCTAGCGTAACATAGTTCATTGTCCTTTCCTGTAATATTCATATTTGTGTAATTTGCATTTATCTTGAAACCTTATGATGAATGTGCACCTTGTTTTGATCCACAAGATCAGAACCCTGATGGACATACTGGACATACTGCCCTCTTGTTCCACATATTACTAGCTACAAAACGTGTCATATTCTTAGTGGTGTATCTGTTAGTAACGTGCAGCAGGTGTGATCTGGGAGCCACTTCAAAAACAATCGATAGGTGGTGCCACTTGTTCGGACCCATAGCTGCTTTAGTTTTTGCCGTTTTGTCAGTGACAGGAGTTTTTCTCGTTAGCTGATTTCGGCCTTTCGTGTTTGCGATGTGTCCCTAGACAATATCTTCATTTTCAGACAAACTTGACTGATTATGTTCATATTGTAGTATAAACGATGGAACTAATTTGAGGCATGTAAGCATGCCATTTTTTTTTATCTTCCGTCACGACTTCATATTACATTTGCTGTGCTGAGTGTGTATGGTCGTTGTCCTTTTATAGCTGTCTTTCTTTCCAGCTTTAATTTTCAGTTTGTGGATGTTAATTGAGTGTTTTGATTTTTAGATACTTAGTAGAGATCATGTTGTCCTTAAAAGATATACTGGTACACGTCTTCCTTGCAGTGTATATTTACGTTGTAACACTAGATATTGTGTGCTCACGCTTGTTTGCACGGTGTCTTGTTTCTCATCACACATTTGATTAAACACTTTGTACATTTGAGCAAGACGGCTATTCCCTTGTCATCCGTTTTGTCTGTCAACGTGTCAGATATACTTGTTTTCCAATTTTCTCTCCACGGAACACTATTCGATTCATCTCTAGTAGCAGCTGGCAAAAACGTTGTTTTTTTGTAGAATCCAAATGCACTATGAAAAAATATTTAATTTTAAAGTTATCATTACAGTTTACGGCACACTCCCCAAGTATGACGTTCGTGTGCATTTGGTAAAAGCAAGCAACAGATCATTTGTGGAGATTGACAAAACGTCCAATTTTCTTTGCTTTAATCTCTGAAATGTCTTCATTTTGATGACAATCTGTGTGACAATGCTTAGGGACAGATGATATAGCATTAAAATACAGGGTTCGTGGTTTCAGGCTGCAGTGATGCTGATCAAAAATGGCGTCATGATCCTAACGGTCTGGGCGGAGAGCATACCCTTCTGGTCCACGGCTTCCAACACCGCCATCTTGAAACTAAAAGAAAAGGACCAAGTATGGCTGATGGCGCTAGGGCGTGCCCCGTATCTCCATGGTTACATGTATACAACTTTTTCCGGACATTTGCTATTTACGAACTAAGTAGATGGATGAACAATGCCAGTCGGCGAAAGTGCTTTTGGTAAATTACACAAATTATGAAAATTAATATAATATAGAGGATAAATGTATTGAACATTATATATTTTAGACGAAACCAATTTTCTGTCTAGAAACTTCAATAATTCAAAGAGCATACGTGTATATAGTTTAGCTCCATGGCGCCTCTAAATTATACAGTCACATGGAGTTTTATTTGATTGTTTTTCAAGCTGTCCAATATGTATGCTAGTAAAAAAGGTTTTACATTTATTTCAGACATCTTTTTATACATATCAATGTAAATGATCCTCCATGATATCACAAATACGAACAATACTAGTGTATTGTGATGGTACCAGTTTGGTTTTCTCTGTTTTCTCTTTCTGTTACCGTAGTCACGGATTATTATATATTCTCTTCTTTTTTAACAGCCCCCAAAATACAACATTTTAAAATATATCAGTTTGATTTGCACGTTTCACGTTGTACCTTAGGATGCGCGAGGAGAGTAATTCAATTTTGGCAAAAATATATGCAGCGTATTTCACACTCGTTGTAGAGTCACAGCGGGGTGTATTTGTTTGCAATTCAAACGAAAAATTACCTTGTTACAAAATCAATTTAATGGAGTTCAGTTCGTCACGAGATGACATTCCTCGAAACGCCCTGTTGCTTTATCAATCAAATTAACGATTCTTTAAAATATGCACGTGGTAAAGGGTAACGTTGGTGTTCTCTTTGCTACATACGCATTTGTCATATCCAACAAAGTTCTGGTGATTCCGTTTTTTTGCTTCAAAATGTCTACGAGAACGGCCGAAATGCATCATTGTCTTGTAGTAGTTGATTAATGTGTATAACAGAGTCTTTCCACTGGTTTTTTATTACATCGATATAATGTTAATACTGTCCTTTCATGCACTGCATTATACATTATTAAATATATAAAGTTGCTTTTGTGTCTTGCCTGTAATATTTGACCTACAATTCTAATGTGCATATTCCATCCTATTACGTGTATACTTGGGGTTATTTCAATGCAAATTATGATTATGAACAGCGAAGAGTTGTGCGTTCTCATTGTGTGTCTCAGCCTTCTAGAGCTATGTTGAGAATATGCCGAGAAGTGTGTTAGATGTGACTTTAACCCATAGACCAACCGTAATCACAGCTACGCCATCCATCTGGCATTACGGGGCAGGTAGGGGGAGGGGGTGGACTTGGAAGGTCTCGTTTTCAACTGTTAAAGACTGCAACACTGGTATGTGTGCAAGACTTGCGAACTGGTAATGCTTTAGGTCAATTGTAAAAAATTCAGAATTCGAACCACTAGTAAATGAACAATACCATTGGAGTTTTTACCTGCCAGCGTTTTTAATGATAAAATTTCAAGAAGTAAAGTCAAGATAAAGTTAATCTAGGTTTTTTTTTTGTCATTTAAATGTTTTTTTAATTGCATGACATTATTTTCCTCAAATATATTTAAAACAACAAAATGTTTAAAACATTTGTGTTGATATTATCCGGTCACGGTTTGTGTACTTATTTTTAAAGTGTTAAAATGTGACATACTGTACATTTGTACCCAATACCTACTAATAAAAAACAGTGAAAACTGCAATGAAAACAAAACCCAGTATTAAGAAATAGCGAAATGATTTTATTCAATTACGTCTCTTGGCCATTCTACAGGCCAGGCAAAGTGGAATTTACAGTAATGTCAATTTATGAAACTTAAATCTAAATCTATCCTATTAACAATCGATATTTTTTGGTAAATTTGTGGACCTTTACAATTTACCATACATAATTTACCGTGAGGTGAGAGTAATGAAATCAAAAATGCACCGGAATTTACATGTAGTTGACAATGATGAACAAATTTACTTTTAACAATAAGATACTTGTAAACTATGTATGAGAGACGGTATATATTTGTTGAAGTGTGGCTGACAGCCAGCGGTAAACCAATGTAAATTGAAGTATTGTAACACACTGAAGAGACAACCAAAATCATGAAAACTGACATGAGGTAAAATGGCGACAATTGCAATATAAATTACTGCAAGTTAGCACCATGATTACCTATTTTCATGGTGTAATTTCTATATATTCATGTAAGTATACATTGCTCTATATATACACTTTTTTGAAAGAAATACTTGTGAACAGATTATTCAATTATAACCTATCGGTTAGATTTGTAGATTGTTTTATGTTTTCATTGAGAGTCTACATGATTAATTTAATACGGAAATAAACCTTAATATGGCTGTGTGCATTTGCAAAATCGCATTCATTATGCTTGTGATTCAAAGCTATTATACAGTACAATAAACTTAAACATATGTGTATTTTACCATTACCTTTTTTTATCATACTAATCAACTATCAACATCAACAAAAAATAGACTAGATAACAATATATTCGAGACAGCTGGATGAACTACTATGATAGACAGGATAATAAATAACAAGACAAACATAACAAATACAAATAAGACATCACGGATGCAAGGTAAAATGCAATAAGTCAAAATGGACACATAAAAAGGTTACCTATCTCATTGGAGCGTTAAGAAAATATGGCTCTATTTTTAATTTCGACAAATGCTTTGAACTATCGGTATTGATTACGATTTTGGCAAACCCTTCTGGTTCTATTACGTTTCACCTATCTCTGATTGGTGTTGGTTTTCTAAAAGTATCAAAAGCATACCGTACTCGCATTTGTCGACTTTGCTTTACATGCATGAAGCTAATTTCTTTCAGCCAACGCATCATTCAAGTCTAGCTTGAACTGTGAGAAATAAGAAATAATGAAAAATAAAAAACTTCAAACAACTCAATTATATGTGTGAAATAAATATTAATATACATGAAATCCGCCTTTACATTTGTCTAAAATAGTCTCCGGTAAAACGAGGGAGAATCACGCTTTCAGATCGGCGACCTCGTTCTCGATGCTGTTGTCACATTTGTCAGCTTTGAGGACGAGGTCACTGTCGAACGGCATGAGATTCAAGACTCCTCCTGCGTATATACTTAAATACTGTGATATATCATCAACAAAAACAATAAAACCGACATTTTAAATAACTGAAAGAAAACTTAAATTATCTACATAAGTGTATATATCAAATATACTTTCTATGCACTCAGCATTGCACTTTCCCTAATGTCTAAATTATTATCTCAGTCCATTAGCTTAATTTCATGTCTGTCATGCTTCTTGGATATAGCAATAGCTACGTTATATGTAAATATGAAATGTCTTTGGCGTGTACAATGTTAGATTTGTACATTATACGGAATTATGTGTCGTCTCACGAACCTCCCCAAAATAGCCTTGTCCTTATGCCCTATGACAACAATAGGCAGATCTATATATATCCCCTCACTGAAACCAGGCAAGCATTATATAAGAACACACGCCTTCACTAGCGGATCCAGTTCAACAAAAATAGAGGGATAAAATGTTTCAAATGTGCTTTTTCAAAAGATATGACTAAAATTCTATCAACATCCTCATTTTATATTTGGAAAGTACACAACCGAATTAAGGACCCAGCCCAAAAATCGTTATCCCAGTGAGAAAATGTTGTTATTTCGCACCCTCCATGTAGTAGTTTTGTAATAAACCGTGACTGATATTATTTTTAGCTATGGGGCTCTTTAACCTCATGACTAATAACTGTAAAATCATAAGTAGAGTGTTACTTGGAATTACCACTAAAGAAGTTAAATTTACTAAAAGTGTGCCTTTACAATGTTCTCCTTTTTCAAATGTATGGCATGAGAGAGAGCTTTGCTCTCTAGCAATCCTGGATCCGCCAGCGGAAGCGACCACATGCATCTCAACAAACACATTCGGCCTTTTCATTAGTTAACATAAGGGTAAAATGACAAACGAAATCTAAGGCGAAGAATCTGAGGCAATTCATTACTTAACTGAGTTATCCAGCATGTCTAAAAGAACATTGTCGGTAAATTTCATCAACGTTGGATTTGGAAATTACCAGTAGAACTCGGTATGTGACTCGTGTTTTGCTTTACCAACGACACATAAAGAGACATTCACAGACAGGTCATTCATGTATGAGAAAGGAAACATTTACGAAGGCCGTTCGGATATTGATGGACACCTTAGGACTAACCATATATGTATAGTGTTTGGTGTTCACAACTGACATCGGTAAATATAAGGTTGATTGTACGAGACTAACATTCACCAGCAGGTGAGAGCTTGAGCAATGCCAGCACCAACCGGCATGTTTAGCATTCTAAACGCTAAAGGTCAATTATCCATATGCAATTTGACATAATAGTAACTAAAGGCCACAGAACCGTTTAAGAGATGAAAAGGCTAAAACTATTGAAATCTACCTCTCCAAATGTGTAAATACCACTGAGGTGACGTATCAGCTGGGAAGCAACCGCTGTAGTAGGAACCAAACGGCACAGATGTTGGAGCCAAGATCCTCTGGTTCTTCTGATTCTCTAATAAAGTGTGGCACATGAAGTGCTCGATATCTGTTGGTACCCTCGGTTGTCATAAAAGTCTAGTGGAAAAAAGAGGCACTTATCAAGAGGAGATGAGACTCCGCCCAGTTGCGATTTGTCCAAGTTGAATAACCCCAAGATTAAATAAGTACAAAAAAGATAGTTACAAGTGCAGCTGAACGAATACTGTTTTTCTAAAACACAGATGATGATGATGATGGTTTGACATGCCAATTGATAAAGTTTGGTTTTATCTTGACAAACCCACTGGTGGTCTTGCACTATTCAATGGTAACCGTGGTAACCAACCTTCAAATGGTTATCATCTAAGGAATAAACCCGTGTTGTATGCAAGCATTTCCAATGTCTAAATCAAACCGCTCATTAGAACGTCGTTCTGGGACTAAATTGCGATTGAGACGATTGATGGTTAATTGTCTTTGATGTCCACCGTGTTTGAATGAGAGATCATCTCTAAATTGCAAAGCATTTTTAGCATTTGACTTTTTCTCAACATTTGTCTCCGTGACTGTTCATGACGCGGCACTTACGCTCTCGTCTACACACTCCTACAGCGCCGTGTACGTATAGTTCGGTCGTACGTGTGCTAGTACGCACTGTGTTGAGACACTTTCGGTCCGTTGGTTGAGATTCAGTTGTGTAAATGGTCGTATGATTTCCCGCAGGAGCAGGGAATGGGATGTCGCTACCGCCCTCGCATTGTTTTCCATGAAATGTATGCAACAACTATGATGGCTACTGCAACAAAGATAAACACTAGAAACAAAAGGTACCGGGGTCTCCAGTATATACATTTTTCCTCTTTCTTTGCATCGTCTGCAATGAAATTAGCGTCTTTCTTTGCAACATCGTCCTCTTTAATTGTTGGCAAGAGAGTCCCTAACTCTTGAATACTTAAGTTTTTGGCTTCCTTAAACTCTTTGTTATATTTCTCTTTATAGGCAACTTTTGGCACAACGTCAGGCGTCGACGTTGCTTCTTCTTCAGGAGGAGCACTCGGCACTCGAAAATATGGCGGCCTTGGCTGCCAGTATTCCCTTAGTTCTTGCACGTCCTCTAAAGTACAACTCCCGTGCCGACTTCCAGACGCTTTTCTCGATCCTCCAAACCTACTCGGTAAAGTTGAGTAGTCCGTGGACTGGGGCCGACTTCGATGTCGCCCTTTCTTTCTTTTTTCTTCTAACTCCGATAAAATTGCAAGAATTGGAGGTCCAAAACTGAGGCTGTCATACGGAGGAGGGTTATCCGGGAAAGATGTTTCTAGTGTGCATATTTCGTTACTAAACCTACTTTGTTCTAGCTCTGACTTTGGAGTTCTAAGTTCACAGCAGCGGTCGGACTCCTTGTCTGCGGCGCAAACTGTATCGTCTGCTGCAGCGCGTGCAGCGGGAAGGTGAAGGTCATCTGCCGCCGCTGATGCCTGAGGATTTGGAAGATCTAAAGAGAATATTGTCTCTGGACTTTTTATGTCACTTGGGTCTTCTTTGCTCATCCTTTAGTTTTTCAATCTGAAAAAAATGAAAAGTAAACCAGTAAGTCATAACTACCATTGCGACATCTTGAATTTTTAGCATTGTTAATCATGCTATACATCTCTCCAGGGCTTTACCTTCAAAGGTGCAAAATAAACCTTTAAAATATTCCTGTGTATATGTGGCTTCTTCTTCCCAACACCGATTCATTCGTTCAAACTGCCGAATGGAGAAATTGGTTCGTTAAAGTAAGAGATACCTGCCTTTGATTTATATTTTAAAGCACTGACATAAACCAAACTATGACGATCGCCATACTTTCTGTTTTTCACCATAAATTGCTCTGCATCTACCGGTAGATTAACTATATGCGTGTATATATATATACATATATCCGATATATGACCTATAGCACTGATGCTGGTGATAACAAGGGCATAAAATCATGAACCGGATATTATCGAGAAACATTTAAATAGCAGCACACCAAGCGGTGATTTCCATGAGTAACTTTAAATAATTCAGGCAAACTCACGAAATATTTAGTACGTTAGCTGGAGATAGTATACTGTCAGAACGACACGTTTTTTCAAAATCATTGTTGCCCAATTTTTAGACACACACACACACCCACACACACACACGGACGCACGCGCGCGCGGTTTTATTCATTCATTAAGACCCATGTCTTTGGGATTAAATGAAAGGAACAATGAAAATTAAACTTTTGAAATACAGAAATAATAATTCAGATATGTTACGAGAACAAACGGACTTATTAAACACAATATTTCACTTTCTCCTCATTTTCAGTATCCGTGTAACCAGCCTAATTTTCTGGGGAAAAGTTGAATTTTTTTTTAATTGAACTTGTTGAGAACAGCAGGCCTCAAGCCACAATAAAGTGGACCTTTATCGGTGCTTTTTATCCTCTTAGTTGACCCAACTTTAGAAATGCCATAGGATAGAGTTCCAGTTTTGATTCAGAGGGAGCATTTACCGACTACCAACTGCCATCTGAAACGTACTTCTTTCACCCTCCACCCCCCCCTTCCCCCCCTGGCATGAGGACCTGACCACACGGAATCAGCACGTGTAAATTGCCACGAGGTGGCAGCTCCGGAGACTCCACGCTGGGGAAGTTCATATGGTTGTGAATTACGACCACTTGGAGTTCAACTTATAGTAGCCTATAACAAAAGCAGCTGACTTCTAACCTCAAGGTAAAAAATTCAAGTCAATGAATTGATGCAGGTAGCCATGTATTTTTGTTCAGTCGCGGGTCAGGCGTAGCAGGGAGACTGTTAAAAACAAGCACAAGGCCGTATGGTTCCGACTTCCCCTTAACTAAGATCAAAGAAAACATTAACACCAAGTAATATGTTTTCTTTCTGGGGGAAACAGAGAGAGGGAGAAACATATCGGATCAATCGGAGACAGCTTGGGCAAAAACCGAAACAATTAAAAAGTCTACGGACCACATGTTAAAAATCATTATCGTAACCAATGTTTACTTATAACACGTGGCTTGTAACGTTGTGCAGATATGAAACACAATGCAGGGTCCTGAACCGTTTTGTTCGCGGCGCATTCAGTTCAAAGAAATGATTGCCACCGTACCTGAATACACGTAACCCCTATGACTTTACCTACGTAAAAAAAGCAAACAAAGCCCCCGCAAAAAATCAATTTCAAAAATATCATTAGTATCGATCGTGAACCAAATTTTTGAATGGGACTGGTTCTCGTCTATAAATATCACTTAGGCCAGTAGGTTACATAACATTTATGGACGAAAACCAGTTTTTATCCAAAAATATCATTACTATCGATTGTGAACCAAATCCTTGGATAGAACTGGTTGTAATCCATTACTGTTACGTAACCTACATGTTTAACTTGCATTTCAGTTAGAGCTATGGGACATTTTTATTGTAAAATTTAACTGAGCAAGAAAGTGTATCTGATTATCATTTATCCTTTCTTTGCCAGAACGACCATATGCATTCAAAGTTTATCTCAAGAAGAAGACACTGCTCAAAGAAGTGAACCCTTAAGCATACAGTTTGAGTGTTGCAAACAATACATTCGAGTACTAGTGGTAGTCGAATGACAGTTTTATATTACAGACAAAATATCGAATATCACTTGAATAAACAATGTTTTAGATAGGATGCTCCACTGGTGTGTCTGATATTTTTCTATAAAAACAGTGGTTTGATAAGTGCAAGCCTTATCTCCGTTGTAATAAAACGCCAAGACCCGCACACGACAACATATTTTAAAAAGTCTTGTTTACACATACTTTTTCACAGGCCCGGTGGCTATCTGCTTTGAGTATTCTAGGACGCAATATTGCGTCCTAGGAGCATTACACTTCTTTGTTTAACATGAGTTAAACGATAAAGTTAATAGTCATAAAACACCGGTCTTGCGCATGTGTAGTAGGGGTAAGAGTTCCAGAATGAAATATCTGTTCCATGTAATGCAACTGATCTCTTCTTTGCTGTGTGCGAGGACACATTCAGAACAAGTTGATCCGAGGATCAAATATGTCCGACCCACTTAAAAGCTCGCCGCATAATCTCCTCACAGACACTGAGTGGTCCCCACGGGGATTACGCGGATAGTGGGTCGGCCATATTTGATTCTCAGATCTGTTTTGTCTGCGAATCAAGTTGGCTGTGAATGCTGCCTAGGTATTCGGCTGATTTAAGTTACCATAGTTATTGTCCATCCGGTCATTTTATCGCATTGATTTTATGCACTGGCGGAGTAAAGCCAGTGGTCTATCTAGATAGTTGCTTGACGACATGCTGAGATGAAATGCAATTTATTTCGTTTTACGTATTACGTAAATATATATGAAACCTGATGTAGACGGGTGCAATCATCTTCTTAAAAACGATAAACACGTGTAAACATGAAAGAGTGATCGGCTTAGAGCTGATTTCTTGATGACAAACTGAAGAACCATAGTGCTAAAATCAATCAACAATTTTACATCTATTAAAAACCCTAGACGGCTACTCGTCTGACTCGGAAATCGATGTGCGATAAAAATCGTCTAATGCGGCCCTATATATTGGCCATCTCGTAGCGTGGCTGTTCCAGTTGAAACCAGCATGTGGCAAATATCGATCTTTGATCTGGATGAACTAGAACTCAGCGCACTTGCTTAATGGCCAGTCGTGGCATAGGTAAACAGAGAGCTTCGGTGTGTTAATACAACGGCACAGCAACCGGAGTCTCAGGGCGATCTTGGTGATGTCCCCTTACCCTGCTATACTTATACAGTAGGCAAGAGTATAGAGTACAGAGTCTGAACCTCAGGGTACATCTCGTGCAATGCAAACCCACAAGCACTCGACAAAAAGGAGATTAATCCGTAAAAAGATATAATTCATTGAACAGATGGTGATGTCGGGCTCATCAATACGGTGGTCGGGTAGTGAATTGGGAGAATATTAAATGAGAATTACATTGATAAAACTGACACAATATCGAAAGGATAAAGTGAATTTATGGCCTCTCGGTAAATGGGGATAATTGAGAAAATTGATTGGCGAGAACAAAGGTTTTTTTTTTTTTTTTGTGTATGAGAGAGAGAGAGAGAGAGAGAGAGAGAGAGAGTGAGAGTGGGGGTGATATATAAATAGGATCAAACGAAATAAACTTCTTTCTGCAACCTTTTCCTTAAATTAAAATCCACAGTCGGATTAGCCCGGCCATAACGCACCTAATTCACAGTAGGCCTAATGCAAAAAACACTGTGAAATTCCCCCTTTCCAGGACAGACTAATACCAAACGCACGTGTTATTCAAAATACAGGTAGGCGTTTTTCTTATCTGGGATATTACAAGGTTATCTGGAGTCTTGCTTGGTCCAGCTCATTTACATGTACCTGCATGTATATAGGATACCGTGAATTCAACATTAAATGCATGCATTACATATGATATATAGGTCTAATGCAGTATATAGACTATATCGCTATTCGTTCTTCCTTTACCAGCATATTCATGTATACTTCTTATTTCTATCATTGCCCGCATTACTTGTTTGTGGATATGAATTCTGATACTTTTACATTGGCTTTGCACCATATAATCCATTCCTCATATCGGTGGTATAGTCAATAAAGCTCTAGTGTCTGAAAACGAGAGAGAGAGAGAGAGAGCTTAAACTGCGACAAAGATGGACAAATGTTTTCAACACCTTGCAAACAATTAGCGAAATACACGTACGCACGTTTCAGGATTTGCACAAATATTAAAAAAATAAGATGAAATTTACACGCGGGAAGGTGAGAGAGATGTATCATAGGACATTATCTCTAAAACTACATAGATGCTTGGAAGATTGCTAGCTTGTTCAACTGTTCAATCCCAGGCCCGTAGCCAGGGGGGGTTCAGGGGGTTCGAAAGAACCACCCTTTTTGATGGGAAAAAGTCCACTCTGGGTAAAATTTGATCTATGTACTTGAGGATTTTACGTTAAAAGGTCCACTTTTTCAAAAAACGACCCCCCCCCTCTGAGATTGCTGGCTACGGGCCTGAATTATCCTATAATACCTTCTAACGAAACGATAGTATTTATACATGTACTAACCTAAATGTAATATATTTGCCATAACGTCACCGCTAACCTCAAGAGGCGGTTGTTATCTTTAAAATTTCACTGCTGGCAAAACTTGCTATCCACTTCAATTAATCCAATATAGATGGGTGGTTTGTGTCACGATATTATCGTGAAATACGTGTAAACTTCAAATTAAAGGCTCTCAACACGTAGATAACACCACGATTCTGATCTATAAATACGTATTTGGAATCTATTAGCAGAGCCTGTACTTTCGTATACGGAATATGCACAACAATTTTTACACAGACTTGAATCTTTTACAAGATGCACCTAAAACGAATTGAATATCATAGATAAACCCAAATTAAAACATTACTTCATATGCACAATACAGCAGCAATACTTTGTACAGTATGCTAGTTACGGTCATTATTACTCACTAATCTGTTGT